GTACAGCAGAGGGCTGGAGCCCCAGGCCATGGATGCAGGCAGAGCCCGAGGGGAGGGCTGTGCGCCCTGCAGGCCGATGGGACCCAGGCGAGCATCCTCAGGGCCTCGGGGGTCTGGTCTCTCCTCTCCTTCCCTCTGCCAGAGGGAGACCCAGACCCTTCCCAGGCCCCGGCCACGTATGTCCCCTGCTCCCAAACGTGGCGGACAGCAACAGAAAGGGGACCACGGGCTGGAAAGGAGCTGCTGAGGGCCTTCACGGGAGAGGAGGGCCGAGGGCTCCATCGCTAACCTCTCAGGACAGGCTGAGGGGACAGGGACCTCCCGGGCGGAGGGCCACCCGCCCAGTGCGCAGAGGCATCGCTGCTGAAGGTTCGGACCCTGAGTTCCCATTCCAGAACCCACAGGGTCAGCAGGATGGCGCCACGGCCATGCACGCCCTCTCGGCCTTAGTCTGTTTCCTCATGTCCCTGAGCCTGGGACAAGGCCCCGCCAGAGTCGCGCTGGCTAGGATTTGATGTGTGAATGAATGAGGGAATGAATGAGTGAACAGCAAAGTGGATTGCAGCACAAAGAACACAAGCCTCCTTTTCCTTGAGCTGGAGATGCGCCCGGCACAAACAGCAAGTATTTCTAGGAATGGCTCGTTTTGGACACTGCCCCCCGCTTGGTAGATCCTGCCTTCTGTGACTGAGGCCCATGGTGTGCTCATCAGTAACCGTCCCAACCATCCCAAGAAGTTATAGATGTGGAAGCTGGTGCACAGAGAGGGTAAGTGACCAGCTGAGGGTCACACAGCTCACACATGGCCAAGGAGCAGTGTGAACTGGGGCTCAGGACCCCCACGGAGCTGCTGCATCACCTGGCCCGCTCGGCCCCTCTGCTCCTTAGGCCTCTCCCTAACTCCGAGGGATGGGGCCGCAGTGCAGAAAGGGAGAAGAGCAGGGCTTCTCCCAGGCCTCCAGGTCCCTTCCCCACGCCCTCAAGGCTGCCCCAGTGTCCTCCAGCCTCCAGCTCTGGTCTTCCCAAGAGTCTGGCCCGCAGTGTCCTCACACCAGGAACCCCAATCTGGCTGCAGTGGGTGGCCCCTGACCTTGGGCCAAAGCCTGGCACCCGGGGGCAGACCCCTGTCCCGAGCGGCCAGGGCACCTGGTCACTGAGGAGAAGGCGCATGTGCTGGTTCCCGGGGTGCCTCGTCTCACACCCCTGCTCCTCTCACCATTCCTTGCTCTGTTTCTCTGCTCAAGGGCACGGTGTCCAGCCTTCTGCCTTCATCCCACCCAGGCCTGGGGCCAACGCCTGGCCCCCTCTCACTCCCGCCTGGATGCCCGCGGGGGTCTGCATCTCCCTGACACTCAGCAGACCCCTAGCTCACTGCAACCTCCTTGAGGACCCTCCTGCGAAATCACTGGAGTGAACAAAAGCTCTCCCTTTGCTGACTCCTTTCTGTTGGGGGCCCAGCAGGTCCGCCCCGTTTGAGCAGCCTCCCCAGGCCCCAGCTGCCTCTCCTGGAACTCCAAGAGAAGGAAGGCCCAGGGTGGAGGTGGGGCATGGGGGGGCGGGGTCCACCCTCCACCACCCTGCCAGCCCTGCAGACGGCACACACAGAGGGACACTCCCCGGGGGCCTTTCTCTCATCCCATGCAGGGGAATCCCCCTTCCCCAGGGGAGCCCCACGGATCCATGAATCTGGGGTGCCACCGGGCCTTCCTCCTGGGGGAGGCCACCCCTGCCCCCTGGGCGTCTGGAGACTGGAAATCTTTCACCCTCCCCTCCTGCACCGGCCCCCCCCCACCTCGGCTGGAAGTCCTCCCAGGGCCATGGTCCCCTGAGGTGCCCACCTGCGCAGCTCACAGGTGGACCATCCTGCAAGGGAGGCAGTTCCAGCCCCGGAAACAGGAGGCGGGTAATTTGCCAATCAGTCGAGTCAGGCCCAAGGCGGAGGTGTAGCTCAGGTACGGGGAA